AGACTGGAACTATGTAATGCACTACCAGTCAGGCTGTTCACCGGCAGACTGGTAGACAGAGAATTGCCGAGACTGGTCCCCATTAAACTATTTCCAGTAAGTCCTGAACCAGTCAAATTATTACCAGTCAATTCTGTTAGACTGGGACCCAAATTATCATGCAAGGCATTCTGTTGTAGTGAGACAAGAGCACTAACATTGGAAGCAGTCTGTGAGGTCATAGAGTTTTGAAGGGATGAACTTTGTCCAGATCCAATCTGAAACACGACAAAAATAAAACATGTATTATAATCAACATATATGAGCAAAACAATTCTAAATTTATTTCCTCATTCTCTAAGACTGGAGTTAAAAAGTAATTTTGAACTTTAGATTCACACATTGACAAAAGAGTTACACAACTAGCTTCTACATTTTTTCCAGAAAATAATTCTGAATAATAATTTTAACGGTTGCAAAGACTTTTTTTTAATATCTTCTCCTTTTTTGCAGTACCAACAAGATGTTTTATGAGAAATTTCTATGATCTTTTAAGAAATGCTTTTAAGGAGATCGTTATTCTACAGTATAGCTTAATTTAACAAATTTTAACAAAACACTCAATTAAATATGGATAGAAATGTCCCACCAGTTCATCATAATGTCTAGGTATTTTTATGTACACTTCACACAGACAAGATCCTGAAGGAAATAGGACAGGATTTCTAGGGAATATCTTATCCCCCCCACCCCCCACTTTGTCTGATGTATGTCACTGTCACAGTATAAAAACAGGTATGCTGAAGACCTTACACTAGGAATGGTCTGGTTCTATACTATGCTTGTGTTGATTTTGAAACATGAATAGTTCAATGATTTCAGTGTCATTTTGAAAAATTTAACAGTCAATAGCACAGGGTCATGTTTGGCTATATACAAGTAGCACTAAGACACATGTCACAGTAGTCTTCTGATAAAATTTCCTTCTCATTTATTATGTATCTTCAAATATTAGATGCTTATGATATAAACTTCAAGCCTGTTGAATCAGTACTTGTTTTATAAAAGCAACATTGTTAATGCCACACTGTTGTTTTACTTGTGTTACATGACCTTGAGTGTCCCTCTAATGGCCTCTATAAAATATTTCCTGGCACAAACCGTAACTAAGTATAATCACCAATCTTCAAAAAGACTACCCCTTAGGACAACTGCCTCACATGAAATCTCAACAGAGGCCAAACAAACATCCATGGCAATGAAGGGATAAAGAAATAAATGCCCTTTTTCCAATCAATATAACAAGAAGCTATTTTCTATACATTACTACACAATCATAAGGTGTCAACATTTAATTTCAAACAAGAGGGCCATGATGGCACTGAGTTGCTCACCAGAAACAACTGCTTTTCAGTGTTGGAATGTCAATATATTCTAATATTAAATTTGAGCATAAAATATGTTAAACAATAATTTGAAGAAATGCCATGACCTGGTGTATTTAAGCTTTAGCTTAAACAGGGCTAATCAAAATAATATGAGCAAACTTGATAAAAGACTACCTAAGAATGCTACAAAGTTTGGTGATCATCTTTCTATTATTTCAGTAGGAAATGATGTTTCGAAGGCTTTTTCTATTTTTAGCTTAAGTGGCCCGTAAAAGGGGCTAATCAAATAAATATAAGCAAACTTGATAAAAGAGTACCAAGAATGCTACAGACAAAGTTTGGTGATCATCCATCTACTGGTTCTGAAGTAGAAGATGTTTAAAGGTTTTTCTATTTTTAGCTCTGCTGACCCCTAAAAGGGGCCAATTGAAATGACATGAGCAAATTCAAGTGTGACTGTTACAAGGATGCTACAGACCAAATTTGAAGTAAATCTGCCCAGTAGTTTCAGAGAAGAACACGAATGTTGACGCATGACGATGGATGACGGACGCCGGAGCATCCCCCTTAGATAATAATAGCTCACCCGAGCCTTCGGCTCTTGTGAGCTAAAAAAGCAAATCAGAGTTATGGGACTTGTGCTAATCATCTAAGATAATCACAGACAACGATAGTGTGAAGTTTCAATCCATTCCCTTCAGTAGTTATAGAGAGATACCAGCTTACACGCAAAAACTTAACCAAGAATATCTAAGTTGAAAAAGGGGCATAATTAAGTAAAAAAGCAAATTAGAGTTATGGGACTTGTGCCAATCATCTTAGATAATCACAGAAAATATGTGTGTGAAGTTTCAATCCATTTCTTTCAGTAGTTATAGGGAGATACCATCATACACGCAAAAACTTAACCAAAAATTTCTAAGTCGAAAAAGGGGCATAATTATGTTAAAAAGCAAATCAGAGTTATGGGAGTTGTGCCAATCTTCTCAGATAATCACAGAGAACAAGTGTGTGAAGTTTCAATCCATTCCCTTCAGTAGTTATGGAGATACCAGCTTACATGCAAAAACTTAACCAAGAATTTCTAAGTCGAAAAAGGGGCATAATTATGTAAACAAGAGGGCCATGATGGCCCTAGATCGCTCACCTGACCCAACAAACTCATCCAAACAATTACCTAGACAAGCATTATGGCCAAGTCTCATGACAGGTGAGTCAAAAATGTGACCACTACAGTGTTAACAAGGATTATCCATATTTGAGCAGTGTGACCTAGTTTTTTACCCAGGTGACACATATTCAAACTTGATCTAGAATTCATTAAAACAAACTTTCAGACCCATTTCCAGGATACTTGGATCAAAACAGTAGCAACTAGAGTGTTAACAAGATTTTTCTAATTTTAGCTCCGGTGACCTAGTTTCACATGCGATTTCGAACTCATCCAAGCAATTACCTAGACAAGCATCCTGACCAAGTTTGATGATAACTGAGTCCAAAATGTCACCACTAGAATGTTAACAAGGTTTTTCCATATTTGGGCAGTGTGACCTAGTTTTTCATCCAAGATGACCCATGTTTGATTTTGACTTAGAAATCATCAAAGCAAACTTTCAACCCAATTAACAGAATATTTGGATCACAACAGTAGCCACTAGAGTGTTAACAAGATTTTTCTATTTTTAGCTCCTGTGACCTAGTTTTTCATCCGAAATGTCCCATGTTCAATTTATTCCCAGCAATGACCTAGACAAGTTTCCTGACCAAGTTTGATGACAATTGAGTCAAAATTGTGACCACTGGAGTGTTGACAAGATTTTCTATTTTTAGCTCCTGTGACCTAGTTTTTCATCCAAGATGACCCCTGTTCCATCTCATCCGAGCAATCACCCAGACAAGCATTTTGATCAAGTTTGATGATGATTGATGCAGAAATGTGACCACTATAGTCTTAACAAGGTTTTTCTATTTTTAGCTCCGGTGACCTACTTTTTCATCCGAGATGACCCATGTTCGAACTCATCTGAGCCATCACCTAGACAAACATCTTGACCAAGTTTGATGATGACTGATGCTAAATGTGACCGCTAGAGTGTTAACAAGGTTTATCTATTTTTAGCTCCGGTGACCTACTTTTTCATCCGAGATGACCCATGTTCGAACTCATCTGAGCTATCACCTAGACAAGCATCTTGACCAAGTTTGATGATGATTGATGCAAAAATGTGACCGCTAGAGTGTTCACAAGGTTTTTCTATTTTTAGCTCCGGCGACCTACTTTTTCATCCGAGATGACCCATGTTCGAACTAATCTCAGCTATCAACTAGATAAGCATCCTGACCAAGTTTGATGATTATTGATGCAAAAATGTGACCGCTAGAGTGTTTACAAGGTTTTTCTATTTAGAGCTCCGGTGACCTAGTTTTTCATCCGAGATGACCCATATTCGACCTCATCCGAGCTATTATCTAAACAAGCATCCTGACAAAGTTTGATGATGATTGGGTCAAAAATGTGTCCACTAGAGTGTTCACAAGGTTTTTCTATTTTTAGCTCCTGTGACCTAGTTTTTCATCAGAAATGACCTATGTTCGAAATCATCCAAGCAATTGACTAGAAAAGCATTCTGACCAAGTTTGATGATGATTGGTTCAAAAATGTGACCACTAGAGTGTTCACAAGGTTTTTCTATTTATAGCTCCTGTGACCTACTTTTTCATCCGAGATGACCCGTTTTCAAACTCATTCGAGCTATCACCTAGAAAAACATCCTGATTAAGTTTAATGATGATTGGGTCAAAAATGTGACCTCTAGAGTGTTCACAAGGTTTTTCTATTTTTAGCTCTTGTGACCTAGTTTTCCATCCGAAATGACCCAGTTTGGAACGCATCCGAGCAATTGACTTAACAAGCATCCTGACAAAGTTTGATGATGATTGAGTCATAAGTGTTCACAAGCAATTGTGGACGTATGATGGACAACAGACGACAGACATTCACCTATCCTAAAAGCTCACAAAATCATCAAACAATGACCAAATTCCAACTTGACCTGCCCATTCCTTTAACATATCCATATGTCAAATTTGAGTTGAATAATTGTAACACTGTTGGGTACATAATGAACAGAAACTGTAAATTTCATATTATTTTCAAAGTGAAAGGGGCATAACTCTGCCAAAAATCATTGAACCATGACAAATTCGAACTTGGCCTGGGCATTCCAAAAACATATCCATATGTCAAGTTTGAGTTGAATGTGTTGTACTGTTAGGGAGATAATGAACGGAAACTGAAAATTTCATATAATTTTCAAAGTAAAAGGGGCATAACTCTGCCAAAAATCATCAAACCATGACCAAATTCGAACATGAACTGTATTTTCTCATGACATATCCATATGTCAAGTTTGAGTTGAATATCTTGTATCGTTGGGGAGATAATGAACGGAAACTGAAAATTTCATATTATTTTCAATGTAAAAGGGGCATAACTCTGCCAAAAATCATCGAACCTTGACCAAATTCGAACTTGACCTGTATTTTCTCATGACATATCCATATGTCAAATTTGAGTTGAATGTGTGCAACTGTTCTTAAAATAATGAACGGAAACTGATGATGACGGAATGACAGAATGACGGAACAGGGTAACACTATATGCCGTAATGGCGGGGGCATAATAAATAATTTTGCAGGAAAATATCTGCCAGAAGGACAAAGCCCGTATCTTTTTCAGTTTATATGCAAAACTTTATTGTCACATTAATGACAGGACAGCGGGGAGTGGTGGCCTAGTGGTAAAGGTGTCTGCCTCTCAACCCAGAGATCATGGGTTCAAGCCCTATTTGGGTCACGACCATGTTTCTTCATTTCAAGAAGCAGACTCCAAAGTGATTAATATAAGTTTTAAGAATTGAGCTTGATTGAATGTTTAAACCAATGACAGGACAAGTGAGATGGCAAGTGGTTTAGCTAAAATTACTATAATTTTCAAATTTTCTTTCTGCAAGATAGTTACCAAAAGCAATTTTTTTAAATATTAAAATGCGCAAGATATAGAAGTCAAGAGATGATAAAGAAATCATTATATAATAAAGGGTCATATATGAATTGCCATCAAGTAGATCATTAATTCTCTTTAATTAATGGATTTCAATGTAAAATTTTTTGTTAAAGTATCCAATCCTTAGAAAATTAATACAACTGTTTTTCTCATGGGTTTTCAAGTCAATTTTAACACATTTATGGTTTTCTAGTTTTCTCCTTATCCAGATTTTTTTACCCTTGTTGCGTAGGCCTGTTTCTATCACATATTAAGACTAATATGGTTAAATAATAAAAAGATGTATAAATACCTTCTGATTGATCACAATAAATCCCTTGTTGCTTCCATCACACACTTGTTTCTTCAGGGGAATTATTTTCTTCACTCGATCATCAATGAACTGTCGCTCAGCTTGTACAAGCTTCTCAGGCTCTTCTGCCTTCTTGTAGAAGAAACGAGAGTTCACCTCCCTGTTAAAAAAACAATTTCATTGGGTTAAAAGTATTGCACGTTTTTTTTTCTATGCAGTAATTCATTATCTATAATGTGTCTGAAATTCATATTACCATCAGCTGTTAATAAATCAAAGTGTTGTTTAAACTTCAGACGTAAGACTTGTTTCTTGAACATGGAACAAGTGATCATACAAATGAATTATAGGGACTACACTGAGGTTTTTTAACATGACAGGACTGGAATTTTTTTTTCGAGATAAATGTTCCGTTTGATGCAGATCGTGCAGAATTTCAGATAAAACGCTAAATCGCTTTTCTTGAATGATTATTTAGATTGTGAAAAATAAACAATAAAATCAAATCAGGCTAAAATAGAACAAAAATACAATTTTCAAATATTCTGAAAATATTTCATACATACTTTACACATCTTTCTATTTCCAAGTTGATCTATGTTACGAATTCAAATTTTGTTATTTTAAGATTTCACTGACTGTCAAATAAATTAATATCTTTTGTATATTTTGACTGACACAGTTCTAAACTGGTTTTGTAATGTTTTTAACATGAAAATGTGATGTCAACAGTCATTTCACAAACAGAGCATGCTTGCATTATCATGCAGTAACTGTAGGTTGTCTTCTCCCATATGTACACCTGTGTTTGCATTTTCTTTGTACATGTATGTAAGTTAATGCACATTTTACAAAGGTAACAAGATTAACTATCATAACTTTGGTTGGTTCTCTTGAGCTAAGAAATGACTAACAATTCAGAAATAAAATATTTGACAAAGGAGCCGTGTCACAACAAAACCAACAGTGTGTTTGTGACCAGCATGGATCCAGACCAGCCTGCGCTTCCGCGCAGTCTGATCAGGATCCATGCTGTTTACTCACCAACTCTATTACAAGAAGAGAAACTGATAGTGAACAGCATGAATCTGATCAGACTGCATGGATGTGCAGGCTGGTCTGGATCCACACTGGTCACAAACCCATTATGTTGGTTTTGTCGTGACACAGCTCAAATATTTCTCATATAGAAACATACACAGTGTCCATGTCAGTTTTGTGCTGCATTTCCATGATCTCAACCATGTGCAGATCAATGGGCTCCTTATCACTCTTGATGGGTAGTACAGCATCAGCAACATTCTAAATATATAACATTATATATCATCATCAATAATGACAGTTTATAAATGTCTGTTAAAAAAAATAAGGCTTAGAAACAGGAATATACAATACATGCACAAAGATAACTGCAATTTTTTCCGACTGCACTGGCCAAATGATTAGACTGATACTCCCTTAATTATGAAGCCGCTTACTTACTTTTAAGTGTACTAGTTGTCGGATATTTTTATCTTACGTTGACGCCAATAAAATTCACCAATAAAAGATTTTATGCGAAATTTGTACGAAATTAGAAGGGGATTAATTGAAAATTATGATTTTTATAAAATACCAGTTTTCCAAAAATCGTACCGCTGTACGAAATTCATTTTTTCATATTGCACCCTTAGTAATTATGCAATCCCTCTGTTCATTAGGAATGCGATACAAGTTATAAACTATTAAAATTGAACTTTGACTCAATTACTGGTTTCTTGTCAGTTTTAAAAAAACATAAACAAATTTAGGCATCAAAAATAGTAGAATTGATCATACCTCCATAAGAGCCAATTTTTGGTAAACTTTGGTTCTCAGTGAGGTGCGGGCCATCTGGATCAATGTATCAGGATCAATTTCACGCTTGACCTTCACCGCCTCAAGGTCTTCTAATGCCTTATTACTTGCCAACTCGAAACCTTCAGTGATCAGACGTGAATAGAGGCCCTACAAACACAAGTATATTACTTTATAATGGTTCAACACTTTACCATATACTTTTTTTTTCATTTAGAAAAAACATTATAGCTGCAGCAAATAGTAACTTACAGATTGATAAATGCATCTTATATTCTTGAAGTTATTTCCCTAAGAAATTTGATTTATCTACTTTAGTTTTAATCATTATACAAAATATGTAATTCAATAAATTATATATACTTGTACCATAAATACGAGGGTTGTTCAAAAAGTAATAGGACTGCAAGTCTACTGTTGACATTTTTTTAATTTATATGCACAATTTTACAAGATAATAATTATATCGAAAGATTTCCTCTATAGACAGTGAAAAAATCAATATGTTAAAAAAATAACGAGTCAGTTAAAATTTCAACTGACAAGGGTTACGCGACCCTGCGCATGTTAAGGTGACAACGGAGTCAATTATCACTGAAAATACCTAAAATGAGATTTTTTGCTAAGTAGATTTATCAACCTTTTCTGAACACATTTGTGATTTAATTTTGGAAGCAGTTAGTCCAAAAAATGTGTTTTTAAACGTTTTAAAACGGAACCTATACTATTTGTATCTGCTATTCGCGTAACCTGTCGATTATCGATAACGCTCCGCCCCCTGTTGAGGCATCAATGAGGGAAATCGGTAGTTCCATATATCCGTGAATTACAGGTCCATACTGGTCCATACTTCTCGTAATACATGTATCGTACAACTAACGTACATCTTTTATGAATATCTCAACATTTAGCCTTTTTTATAAATTAAGAAATTGTCGGCCAATGTACGTAACATAATGTATGAAACATAAATAATTAAGCATAGCGGCAAATCGCACGACCACGGGGTTGATTAAAAATGTAGTTGCTAAAATATCCATAATGTGTGAAAATAATTTGTCTGTCCCGTTAATCTGATAGATATTACGTTGAGTTGATAGACTTTTGTACGGATTCAAGGGCTTACTTTACATTCAACCTCGTTTTCTAACAATGTCAAGTAAAACAACAACAAAAACAGACAACATTTTTATATGTGAACGCCTATGTGACTTGTGGAAAGGTGTCCCTGACAAATTTCTAAACCATTTTAGATTGTCTAAGGATGATTATTTCTCTATAAATAAAAAAAAGATATTAAAATATATTCTCAGTGAAAATAAATTGTTCGTCAGTAAATCGGACACAGTACTAATAAATCTGGGACAAAGTATGAAATTTATTGTCTAAAAGACTATCCCGGTAGAAACTGGATCTCTATGCCGTGCATAGATGATATTCATAATAGAAGTCAAGAAGGCCAGATCATAATGATCTAGTAATACCTTTTATTTCTATTAAAATATGTGAAGCATTATCAATTTGGTGGAAAAAATATATAATATCCCGTGCTTATTTGTACATCTACCATGGACTTTAAAAGACTGTCAGAAGCTTAGTTTTTTGTTATTTTATTTTATATTTTAACGGAATTTCATACACGAATACACAGGCAGAGTGATACTGGTATAATACAATAATAATGCTAATGATAATAATAATAAACTTCAAAAAGGAAACAATTAAATACCCCGCTAGCGGTGCGCAAATGCGTTCCATTTCCCCCCACTGAGTGCCTCAAATTTTACCGATAGTCACGTGACATGTGAGACAGATACCAGACGATCAGTAAATCACGTTAAGAATTGAAGAAATTTCAGCTATAAACTGATATTAATCAGCTGCTTTTTAATTGGTCAGATGTCACTGGGTCATAAAATGTTGTTAGAGTATGTTACCGCAACTTGTGACCCTCTCTGGTGCGATATTTGTGTATTATGCAATTATTTAGCGTGAAACGTAGGGGTCCGAGAGAGAACAGCCGATTTATGACACTTCGTTTGATGCGGGTCGGACTAACTTTGAATCGGCATAACTTTTTTAATAATCAAGTAATTAACATGCGGTTTAAAGCACATGAAAGGAAATTCATTTACGGAGGGAACCGTGTCAGGGATTTTTGTTTGCTCAATAGGCAACTTAATTATCCTTAATTACGTAATATGTATGGTGAAAAAAGTCGCATAAAATGTTTGACGTTACGTAATATTTTTTTGAGAAAAGATAGAAAAAATTTGAGACACGGTTCCCTAGATAATATAAGTATGGTTATTTTCAAAAAGTTTGATGACAAAAAATTAAAAAATGACTTTGATATGACGATTTAAAATTTTAGGATTTTTATTCAAAATCAATCATTTACAAAGGCATTTTTTTCAAATATGTTATTTTTTATGATGATCAACGACATTTAATGCACAAAGATTAAATAAATAACAATTATTATTAAAATAACTTTGTTTAAATGACATTTATGTAAGTACCACGGAAAGTGTCTGTTGTCACCTTAACTGCACAATAAATGACGTTTATGACGTTGTAAAATAAAAAAAATGTAACAAGCGTCGATCATCCCTTCTGAAAGAATTCTCCCTAGTGTTCTGTGTGTCTAAATCATGTAACTTTGATCAGACCTCATATGTGGAGATGAAGGAAGAAAGAAAATGATCACACTCTCGTTCCACTCTACTCTCCACTTTATCTCGCATTCTTGTAATCTTATAGTAATCATTATAGATTAAACAGGCATGAACTTATGTTAATGAAAAAGCGATTAATAGAATTAATTTACACATATCATCGAACGTTCTTAAAACAATATGATTATGTAAGAAAAACAACAATATTTATCAACTGAAAAGTATATTTTCCTACTAGGAATAGATTATCTTTTTAAAAAAAAATCCAGCAAAAATATTTATTATTACCGTTTATCATTATAGCATAAATTTTATTGATAAAATGTATACCTAGTTAAATGAAATAGAATTTTGTTTGAATCAAGTTATTTGGGCAGAACTGAATGCAGAATTCAAACATGCCGATCAGCTCGTGGACTTTTTACTGTCAATCATTTTGTAGCACTTTTTCATTTGACGTCACTAACGTAATGTCAATTTCCCGCTATCATTCTCATCCTTTCCTGTCTGTGATCTTGTATGTGCAGTTTTTGAATTGCTTGCGCAAGCTGAGAACAAGTATCTTGATAGCCGATTAATTGCACTGTGTTAACTTTATGTTTCCGTATGTATCTGAAGGAGTATCGCCAATTTGTTGGCAAAGATTAACGATCGCACCAAATTTTAAACGACCGCTAGATTTCTATTTTTAATGTTATGACTACTGCTGTTCAAAACTTGATGATTTAGACATTTCATGTCTGAATGACTTCAAATTTGGGTATAATGTCACTTCAGTATCATAAATTGTGTTTGTGGAATAAATGGGGGAAAAAAGAAAATAAATTATGAATAAAAGAGTATAATATAATCCAATAATTTTATGCTAAAATTGAAGAAAACATTTTTCGATTGCTGTCTACCTAAAAAATATTCTAAATTGAATTGAATAATTATGAAGATGCAGGACTAATTGTCCTATTACTTTTTGAACAACCCTCGTAGTAGTCTTTCCTAGCAGATTAGACTTATGTTTGTTATGTTTACCTATTCCAGAAATTTCATTTGATATAGAGGAGGTGCATGCTATATGATGATGTCATGAATAAACATTTATGAATGTACCGCATTAACAACAGGTCAATTTAGTGCATTAAAAAATAAAACTGTGTGCCAAGGATGACATCACTTTGCCATAATGAATAAAGAGATAAATTTATAAACTATTGTAAGAAAATAGTTATGGATAAAATGACATTAATTTCCATGAAAACTTGTATTAGTTTATTAAAATATGGTAGAATATGTAAGAGAAAATATATATGGCATGTGTTTGCTGTTCAGATCAGAATATCTGCCCCTCTGTTACTTGCCCATTGATGATAACTCAGCAAGCGTCAATACCGCCAGTAGGCAGGTACCCTCAGGTTGGCTATTTCCATCTGAACCACAATATATGACAAATTTTATAAGTATGCCCCAGTAAAAGATTTTCTTTGCAGTTTTTACGTATATTTAGGCAACATTTAACAATAGACCACTAAAATTTCCTCTCCATTGTTTAGATCTTCGTACTTACATTTGGTTGTTCGAAGTAATAACGTGGACCACATTTAGGTTGATACCCTAAAACAATAAAATCAAAGGCATAAACATATGCTTCATAAAGTGAATCATTCATAAACATTTTAATAGAATAGTACAAATAATTATCTTCTATAAGATAATATAGTCAGCAAGTACTTTGGCTACATTACATATTTTGAAAAGCACAAATTTAAATTTTAAAGGTGATTTATAAGCTTTACAAATTTAAATTATGAATATGACCCTTGGATCATATAATTTTTTAAGTATTTATGATACAGTCTATATTTTGTAGGAATGAAACTGAACAGCATCAATTATATAACAAATAACATTAATTTTACTATTACTAAAACAAAAACTCAAAGTAAAATGTTATTCCTTAATATTCAAGTATCATACAGATAAAATGTTTATCAAAATTCGCTATTTTATTACAGTTTCTATATATATAAACAAGAGGGCCATGATGGCCCTGGGGTCGCTCACCTGAACATAGGCCCCCAGGGCCGGGCCAGTTTAAACCAAAGGGCTTTTATTTGAACAAACTTGGAAGACACCCATTAGAAGATATTTCATGATGTTAAGTTTTTACTATACACAAATAATGAATAACAATGACTTTTGCCACCCCCCTCTCCCTGGCAGGGCCAATTTTGACCCAAGGGCTTTTATTTGAACAAACTTGGTAAACATCCATTAGAACATGTTTCATGCTAAATATCTTAGCTCCAGCTCTTTTGGTTCTTTAATAGAAGAATTTTAACAATTTACTCTATGTATATAGGGAAAATCAATGACCCCTGGGACAGGGCCAATTTTGACCCCAGGGCTTTTATTTGAACAAATTTGGTAGAAACCCATTAGAACATGTTTCATGCTAAATATCTTAGCTCTAGCTCTTTGGGTTCTTTAAAAGAACTTTTTTTTAAGTTTTTACTATATGCATATAGGGAAAAAATCAATGACCCCCTGGGGCGGGGCCAATTGACCCCAGGGCTTTTATTTGAACAAACTTGGTAAACACTGATAAGAAGATGTTTCATGCTTAATATCTTAGCTCTTGCTCTTTGGGTTTTTTAATAGAAGATTTTTTTAAGTTTTTACTATATGCATATAGGGAAAATCAATGACCCCCTGGGGCTGGGCCAATTTTGACCCCAGGGCTTTTATTTGAACAAACTTGGTAGACATCCATTAGAACATGTTTTACACCAAATAGCTAAGCTCTAGCTCTTTGGGTTTTTTAGAAGAAGATTTTTTAAGTTTTTACTATATGCATACAGGGAAAATCAATGAGCCCCTGGGGCGGGGCCAATTTTGACCCCAGGGTTTTTATTTGAACAATCTTGGTAGACACTAATTAGAACATGTTTCATGCTTAATATCTTAGCCTTAGCTCTTTGGGTTCTTTAAAAGAAGATTTTTTTAAGTTTTTACTATATGCATATAGGAAAAATCAATGACCCCTGGGGCGGGGCCAATTTTGACCCCAGGGCTTTTATTTGTTCAATCTTGGTAGACACTTATTAGAAGATGTTTCATGCTTAATATCTTAGGTCTAGCTCTTTTGGTTCTTTAAAAGAAGATTTTTTTAAGTTTTTACCATATGCATATAGGGAAAATCAATGACCCCCTTGGGCGGGGCCAATTTTGACCCCAGGGCTATTATTTGAACAAACTTGGTAGACATCCATTAGAACATGTTAAATACTAAATATCTAAGCTCTAGCTCTTTGGGTTTTTTAGAAGAAGATTTTTTAAGTTTTTACTATATGCATATAAGGAAAATCAATGACCCCCTGGGGCAGGGCCAATTTTGACCCCAGGGCTTTTATTTGAACAATCTTGGTAGACACTCATTAGAAGATGTTTCATGCTTAATATCTTAGGTCTAGCTCTTTGGGTTCTTTAAAAGAAGATTTTTTAAAGTTTTTACCATATATATGCATATAGGGAAAATCAATGACCCCCTGGGGCGGGGCCAATTTTGACCCCAGGGCTTTTATTTGAACAATCTTGGTAGACACTCACTAGAAGATGTTTCATGCCAAATATCTAAGCTCTAGCTCTTTGGGTTTTCTAGAAGAAGATGTTTAAAGTTTTTTCTTTTGGTTGCCATGGCAACCAGAGTTCTGCATGGGATGGAATTCTTTGAACAACTTTGTTAAGGCTTTACACAAGGAACATCCCTGTGAAGTTTCATTATGATCTGCCTTATGGTTTCAGAGGAGATGTCGTATGAAAATTGTGAACGGATGACGTACGACGGATACAGGACAAAGAGTGATCCTAATAGCTCACCCTGAGCATATGCTCAGATGAGCTAAAAAAACATTTTTTCGCAAACAAATTTTAGTACCATATGAAAATGAATAAAATATGCAATCCATCATTAAACTGTAATCTAACTCTGAAAATCTACTAAACAGGCAAATGGGAGAGAGAGAGAAAAAAGAGAGAATTAATTGGCACCTACAAATATTAAATTCCAAGGCAATTTTTATGTATCAATGTTTTTTTTATTCAAACAATTAACAGAGCAATAAAATAAGTCCTGTAAAACCGCAATCTGTCATACATGTACTTCTATCACAAACAAAAGATTGGAAGAGCAAGTTATAATTACAAAACAGCAAGTTGCAAAATATGAAATAGCGAGTTGACTATATAATCTTGCTCTTATAATTGAAAGATAGTCCTATAACGCTATATTTCTTTATTTCAGATAGACACCTATAAAGTAATTAATTTTAGATTCCTAATAAAAACTTATTTTATCACCCATAGTCATTTCCCTACAAACTTTTTCTGGGCTATACAAATTAAGTAAACTAGCCAACCTTGTTATTTCCAATTTAATTTGCAATTAAGGATAAAGTTGAGTATGTAACAAATGACAAATCAAAAATAATATATCGATATATCTATGCTCTCCCATAATATTCTGGTCTCTTGAGCATAAACAAACCCAAACACACACATAAAAGGTATATCTTTAAATGAAAACGTTAGGCAAAATTATATATTTGTTGTTTAAAGAATAAAGTTTCCTTACTTTCTTTGTACCATTTCTCCAGGTTTAAATATGTTTATGCCAAATAAATTAATTTCAGACAAAAAATATCTATTTACATAATTATAGTATATCCTCACTTAAATTGACAATTTTGTTCCAGGATGTACAAAAATAATTTTAAGTTTGACCTTTTTATTACCATTGCAAAATTTCACATTTAACAATTTTATACATCTATATGCCCCAAAACCTAAGTTAACCCATTACTTCATATACACACCTTTTAACGCCTTTTTCATCCCCCCCCCCCTTTTTGCTGTCTCAAATGGTGAAAAAATGCATTATTTAGGCCCTTAACACTTTTTTTTGTTTGAGAAATGTTGTTAAAAAAAGTGACCACTTTTTCGACGCGGCCCCCCAACCAAAAGATACATCAGGGGGTTGCCAGAAGGGGGATGTGCCCCCTTCTGTTTGGGGGGGTTTGAAGGGGGGTGGAGTCCCCCTCATTGCCAAGAAAATTTTGGACTTGTGAGAGGCTATAAATGACCCCAGATTGATCATAAGGTAACGTTTAACCAACGCTGAAAATCCTTTGACTCTATCTCAATCCCTTGAGCAGTTGCAGCACTTTGAAATAAATTTTGATGGAAAAAATCTAGGCAAAATAGTGATTTTTGGCAATTTTGAGATGTCCCCTCATTGCCATGGTAACAGGAAATTTAAGACTGAGCATGTTGTTACAAAGGCAATGGTCCAGTTAACATTTGTGCCAAGTTTGATGAGTATTGAAGCATTTTTCATAGTTTCATAGCAGTTTGAACTTGTAACAGGAGGCTTTTCAGTGAAAACGGCCATTTTTCACAATATGCTCATGGGGGAAAGGGTTAAATGAAAGGTATCAACATTTTCACACTGTGAGACAAAGCTAGTTTATAATATATTATTTTTGCAACAACATAGATCACAGTTACATAAAAAATAATAGTTTCAAACATTGCTTATCTGTGATTCTTTGAGATTCTATTGCCTGATCATTATTTTTTTATCTGCACTTATCAACTTCAAAGACCCAATGCCGACAACAAACTCAAGGCGGGGTTACATAGCCAAACAAATATTGATACGTCACACATTCAGTTTCGGACCCTGTCATTGGTTAATCACCTGCAATACTGACACTGATTGACAGGTTAATCAAAGGAGAATTTGTTATTCCTTGACAGCTGAAGTGTGTCGGAGTAACTAACAATACAATTATCCGTTAGACCCCTGCTGTTTAATGGGGAAATATTACTTCAGGCATATATAGTTGTTTAAGTCTCTTGTATAATTATGTTTATTGGTAGAAAATATGCTTTAATTTTTTGTTGGTTGAATTTTTGAAAATCAGGGGATTTCGATCCCACGGCGGGAGATCGGGAGACATGGTCGAAAATCAGGGTTTTTTTTGTCCCCGCGGCGGGGATATGGCATGTATGAGTGTAGACAATTTAGGTAATTTGATACCCTCCTTGTCGGGCCTCACATATAAGTGTCAATAAATTCAGAAATAAACAAACTAGTTTGTAAGTTAGGGGAGAACCTAGCCGAACTGTGTCAAATTTTTAGGTCTCTATGTTAAAAATTTATGAAACCTGTACGGGAAAAATGTTCAAAAAGTGTCCGGTTGATGGTTTCCCGACCAGTAAAGATAACTGATTGTGTATTCTCACTGTATTTTCTGACTCCTGGTAGTTTTAACCGTAAATTTAAATACCTTCAGTGTCAAAAAATGTGTTGAGGAAGTTTAAAATTCACCGCATTAATTTGGAATAACAAATTTTTTAAAATCGGACATATATAATCGCCCCAAATTAGCGATTTAAACACAGCTAAATTTGCATTAGAAAAACTAACACGGGGGAGGAAGTGTTTACACGAAGGATGGAGTTCTTATGATAACTTGTTCAGGAGTTCTAGTGATAACTGTCACGGAGTTCGTCGGAAAACATCTGTATATACTACAAAAACACTCGTTAAAATGGTTATTTTTATCGTTCAAAAATGAGTTTTAGGTGCTAAATTAAACTTTAATGATTAAGCTTGTCTTACATCTTGTATTATGTGTCAAAGCCTAATTCACATGCCATTTTTAATCGCCTCTTGCTTCAAATCTGGTAGTTTTCAGTAAAAATTTCCAAATTATTTGCCAATTCACAAGTTTTGACCTGTTTATTTCTGGTCTTCATCCTTGCAATACATAATTTCCTAATAATAATGCAAAATTGCAAATCATAAAGCACCGGCTAACAGATTTATAGCCGATTTTTTCAAATGTTCCGGAGTTCTTGTGATAACTCTGAAAGATGTCACAGAGTTCTTATGATAACTTTTGTTATTGCCAGTGTGTTTCTTGCGCTAAAACACAGCACGTTTTGGCGTTTATTATTATTCAAGATTGTAAATCATTATGAAATGCAGTACGATCATCCTTTGCACAAAAATGTGGATAAAAGGTTGGTGCTCTTAAGTGTCTGCAAAGGATAAATAGCTGAATGGCTATCATCTACAGTAAAAATTGAACCAGCGGTCACTGATATTCAGCAGTATAATGGCTTAAATCACAAAAACAAAAATGTCTCAAAACGTACACGTTGTTCTCAGTTTCACATGTTTTTAAGCAACCACCTTTCTTAAGCAGACAATATATAGGCATGCTTCCCTTACCTAAGGGCTAAGTAATTTGTATCATTTATACCATAATAAATAAGTATATAACCAGGATAATTCCCACACCTATGTCTTAAAAAAGTACGATACATGTTAAACAACCAATCTTTCGAACAAATTTGAAACTGTCCCTCCAGGTTCAAGCGAACTAAGTTTGACTATATATTTTTGTTATCAATTACAGCAAAAGTAGCAGAGTTTCCTCCACTAAGATTACATAGGGGAAATACTCATCAAGCACCGACAGAGAAATAGGCATGAAAATACTATATTTGAGTATTTCAAAGCGCATTTTATCACGTACATAAATGCATATTAGGCATGAAAATACTATATTTGAGTATTTCAAAGCGCATTTTATCACGTACATAAATGCATATGCATTTATGTACGTGATAAAATGCGCTTTGAAATACTCAAATATAGTATTTTCATGCCTAGCCCTACGGTTTCATAGCAGTTCCCGGCCCCAAATCGCACTTTTTTAACAAAATAAAGTAAAAATTTGTCTACCAAAGAGTGCAAACTTTGACAGAACAAAGTTAGGTACCTGTCCAGCATTATCATGTTTTTTAATGTTGCTCTTTTATTTTACATTTTGATGGAATTAGGCCTGAGATGTAACAACTTTGTTCACATTTATTTCAAAATTTCAGAGCAGTTTTTCGAACCTTTTTTATTTTGAATATAAATTCAGTACCAATAAGCAATGTTAAGCTGGGTTTTCAAAATACACATGTAGATAACTTCCCAAACTTTTCCGTGTCGTCTGCAAATATATTGTTTAAAAGTAGTGATTTACCTAGAACGGGATTTCAGTTCTTGTGCATGGGCATTCAAAACTAGAATTCCCCGGGTGTTGCTTGTAAGTGTCGCAAGTTCTCTAATGTAACTTAAAACTTTGAAAACATATTAATCGCTGTACTATTATAACTGCTGTGTTACATAGAAAATAATTGTTTCTCTGACTGATGCAGTAACATTAGATGCTTAACTGAAGAAAAAATAGTCTGTATGCCTGGATGAAAATGATAAAGGGCCAGAATACTTGCTAGGAGCCGCGACAAAATCTGCGTCAAAACAAAAAAAATACTATGAAAAAGAAACGGGGGTAAGAAAATAATATCTCTTGAACTAAAATTCACTCAAAACCAACATTATATATCCTATTTTTTGCGCAAAGGATGAGCGTACTACATTTTCTAAGTGATTTACAATCTTATTGAATAATAAAAAAACGCTAAAACGTGCCGTAATTTAGCGCAAGAAACACATCGGCAATAACAAAAGTTATCAATAAGAACTTCTGTGACATTCTTCAGAGTTATCACAAGAAACTCCGAACATTTGAAAAATCGGCTATATATCTGTCAGCCGGTGCTTTATATTTACGATTTTGCATTAATAATTAGGTAATTATGTATGGCAAGGATGAAGACCAGAAAAAAAACAGGTCAAAACTTGTGAATTGGCAAATAATTTGGAAATTTTACTGAAAAAACTACCAGATTTAAAGCAAGAGGCGATTAAAAAATGGGATGTGAATTAGTTTTTTGACACATAATACAAGATGTAAGACAAGCTTAATCATTAAAGTTTAATTTAGCATCTAAAACTCATTTTTGAAAGAATGAAAATAACCATTTTTAAACTAGTGTTTTTGTAGTATATTACAGATCACACTGGCCATAGCTTTCGCAGAAGCGGTGGGTCTACCCGGTGCGGCGATGGAGATTTCGTCGCAGAAGCGGTGGAAAAATATGGCTGTCGGATAGTTTTTTGTTGGTGTCGGTAAGTTTATGACTTATTTGTACGTTATTGTTTTTATGTTCTACTGATAACACCTAGTGGAGACTGGAGCCCACATAATGTACTCTTCCAACTTATTACCACGCATTTGGGTGCAAATCATGACCAGTTATGCAAACACTTCTGTACAGTTTGACGAGGAGACGCCACTTTTGCCTAATTTTGTTTATAACACTACATATGTACTCAAAAACTACCCCTAGAATTACACTGGCATCGCATCGTATGTATGATAATTACACAAAACAAACCATATTTTGGAACTTTTGGAAATTGAATATTACTATTTTTAATAAAAGAATGACAAAAATTGATTACAACGCAGACGGCGGTGGATTCGATTGCAACGCAGTGCGGTGGGCCCGATATCATTTATGTTTTTTTTTTAACGTTAAAGTCACCGACACTTAGGAGTTGAGCTCCAAACACCTAAAAATACAAATGAAATATATATTTGTGAATCCTATACACATATAGGTTGTTTATATTATATCAATGAAAGTAAATATACGCTTTTTGCATTATGTACCTTAAAAATATGTTTTTATTTAAAACAATCCTGTTTTAGATACTAGTTTTTAACATATTGGGGGTGTATGTTAACTAATGAAGTGCTTTAATGGATAATTTTAAACTTATAAATTGAATTAAAAAAATACTTAAAGTTTTAAGTTTTTTTACAAAACTATGCATTCATTTAACTTATAAAATGTTCTTGATAAATTAAATTCCAGTTTTGGACACTAGTTCAACATATTGAAGTAGATGTTAACTAATTAATATAGCTTTAACTCGTATATTGGAATTTAATCTTTCAATTTAACAAAATCAAAATGTTTTTGTAGTTTTAACCACACAAGAGTCATCATTAACTATGTATTACTAACACATTGGTCATAAATTATATTTTGAACTTTAATTTTACTTATGAACAGTTTGTGATAAAATTTTTTAATAACATTGATAAGATGAGATGAGATGAGAATTGGGTTGAATAGTTGAAACTAAACTTAAGCTTTATTGCTTATCTATTTTTCTAATTTTATTTATTTCATTTTTTTTAATATAACTTTATATGTTAACATTAAATTATATCAAAATTTTTTATTTACGTGTACAAGCTATAAATAGGCTGCAGTTGTAATATAAAAAATTATAGAATTGCATTTTTTGAAATAAAATATTACAATATACCTGACAAAAAAAGGTAGACGAAAAATGTTGTTTTATTGGCCTATGAGCGAATTGCACATGCACGCGTTCAAATTTATCGTATAATATTTTGGTTTTGTAAATTGTAATTGTAATCTTAAAAGTCAGAATTTAAATTGTCCGCTCTTTTGTTTTCGTTGCTTTTCACGGTCTGTCGTTCCTTTCCTTTGGTTGGACAGTTTGGTTGGTTTTTTGCTGTCCAAAACTTTGTGTCATCTATTATTATAACGTTTGCTACAATTGTTTTCTAATATGAAAGCGTATTTTGAAAGTTTCTGATTAATCTTTTGATTATATTCATAATCTATTCTTAGACAATAAAGGAACGTCTGGCTCTGCAGACATTATCAATCAAATTTCTATGTTTTGTATTTAACCTCTACTGAGGATGACACAAAATTAACAAGGCAGGAACATGTACCGGAAGTAAAAGTAAAAACATAAATACATTTTTCCAAAACTTTTCATTGAAAATTATACCATGAATATTGAGGCCTTAAAACCTAATAATTATATATTTATTAATCCCAGCCCATATACTTATCATATATTTCAAATAAAACTTACATATATTTGCTGTTTTGGAAGAAAAAGTAAATATTTATACGTCAAAAAATATACACAAAATAAAAAAATGTGTTAGAAAAAAATCGCACATCCTTCAAATCAC